TAACCACTGATTATTTTAAAGCCAGGCTCCTGAGGAAAAAGATTATGCATATTTGAAAAGTGGGGGAGAAAAGGGCATAACCACTCCTTTTTCCACTTTCCTCCCTCAGTTTTTTAATTTTTTAAAAATCCCCTTCTGTGTCGTAGAAAAACCAGTTGTACTACATATCAAAATTGATTTTCTCTCCAGAGCCTGGCTTGGTGTGTAGCATCTAAAGTGCTTAGTATCATGCTTAACATATATTATTATGATAGTTGCTTAACATATATTTTGATAGTTGTATGACATTCATATAGAATATCTACCTTTTCTCTTGTACTTTTAAGATTTATTAACTGGACAAGATACACACATGCTGCAGTGCTTGAAATCAGCATTTCCAAATACTGTTACACAAGTCTTCAAAGGATTTACTCATTTCTTCCTGAAAAATGGTCTTTATCTTTCTTCATTTTCTTCCTTTCTTCTCCTTATTTTGTTTTTTTCTTCCTTGATGCAATAAGAACATTTTACCTGCTTGTTATTTCAATTTATAGCTTTTTATGATATTTATTTATTAACTATTTAATAGCCATGCAATAATGATTAAAATATATACAAATATATGAATCTTTTTCTTTAATAACATTCCTATTTTTTTTTTTTTTTTTTTTAATATTATTTCGAAAATCATCCAACAGCGGAAGCCAATTACAGGATGTCTTATAATACATATAAAATATATAGAAAAATACAAACAAGTGAAAGATAAATAACATTACAGTATAAAATGGAAAAGAGAAATTTACAAATATATTGCGAGAAATTACATCTAAATTACAATTTGATTAAAAATATTACAGTATCAAATGGAATAGAGAAATTTACAAAAATATTGCGAAAAATTACATCTTAAGCTAAAAATTGCAAGTTCAAAAAAATCCAGATAAGTAAATAAACAAACAAATGCAAAACAAGTAAATAATTTATAAAATTACATTAGAAAATCGGAATTGGTAAATTTTTTTATAAAAATATTGCAAATGACATCTTAAGCAACGGAAACAAAAATAAAAATTAAAAATTAAAAAAAATTAAAAAAATAAATAAATAAATAAAATAAATAAATATGCAGACATACAAAAGGAGACAAAACACAGATCCAACACAAGCACATAGACAAGACAAAATAATCAAAAACAAAGCAGACAAGACACGAAAGATGAAAACACATCAAAAAACGGACAGAACACAGAACAAAGGTCAAACAGTAACAACACACACACACACACACAAATTAGGGATTAACCCACCCAGAAAAAAAGTCACTTAGGTATTATGAAGTAAAGATTGCGATAAGCTGTTTTTGAATAAACTAAAGGCTCTGGAGAAAAATATCGATCAACGTAAAATTATGAGAAAATTTATTAAATGAGAGGACAAGACGATGAGTAAAACCATTTTTAGTGCAATTGACTCTGTTGAAAGGAACCAAAAATAGGTCGTTGCGACGAGAGCCGGGTCTATTTTGATTGTTGCTACTTTTTTCATACAGTCTGCTGTACTTCCAAAATCCCAATGAATATAAACCACTAATTGGCCTTTTTTGTGGTGATCCTGAACTAAATCAGCTATAGTAACTATCTATCCATCATCAATATTTTATATATGTATGTATTTCTGTTTGGAATTCTCATTATTATTTCATATATAAATAAATGCTTCATTGAATGCCTTCAATTTTCAAAGTTGAAAATTATGCAATACATGTCACACTTGCATACATGCATGCTGTAGGCCTATCTTTGCATTCTGCTTGTTTGCTGTTTTTTGTACTGAAATTTTTAAAATGCAATAAAATAACGTATGCTATATTACATTATTGATTTAACTCCTTATTAGGAATAGTAAAAAGTTATTCAAAGTATCCTGGATTTATGATAGCTACCACAGTTGTAATTATAAATCATGTTTCCACCAGAATGAAATTGTCCTACATTACTATATCACGTTTTTGTTGATGGATAATTGATTATGTGTTAAGTAAACACATTAGTAATCAATCACTCATTGTAAAGTAAACAGTAATGCTTTGAATACTATTAATCACATCTGTTAGTGAACTTTATTTTGTGTAAACTTTCGCTATACTCTAAACTACACAATAAAGTAACGACATTGACGGAAATATGCATTTTGGTCAAGGAAGAGTTATTTTTATTTTTCCCCAAAAAATGCAGATGTGCATTTTGGGCATATAAACCATGAGTAAACTTTCATTCCTTTGACAATTGTAATTTAATAACAGAAAATTACTACCACTGTTGAACGAATAAGCAGTGGTGCCATGATCATGTACGTATGTGGTGGATGTATGTAACAAGATAACAATCTGGATTCTAGGCTAGCCCTCAGTTGAAATAATTTATTTTATCGAGCTTTTCACTTTGGTTTTTAGAAATAAACTGTAAAAGAAGCAGGGACTCAACAGATTTTACTTCTGGCGCGTGTTAAAACAATCAAAGGGGATTAAGTGATAAAAAATGCTCCCTGCTGCAAACGCATGCTGCTTTTGCTCCTACAAAAACACTGCAATTTGCAGCGTTGGATTATCAGCGGATATCAGCAGACGGTCGCATTTGAGGCATGTTGTGGCGAAATGGTTTTCAGTTGTCGCACAGTCCAGTATTGAGTAAATGAGCTATAAAATATGGGAGCTCAAAAAATTGCCTAAAAATCCAAATTTGTTTTCCACTATTTAGATCAACAGTTTAATGTCTTGTTAATCATGTCCCAAAGTATTAGTTCAGGAAGTGGTTAACAAATTGTTTATTTAATGTTATTTTTCATAGTTCAATCTATTAAACAATGTATGCACAAATGCAATTACTCAAAATCATGTTTATCTTGACTCTAAGAGTACTGTACATTCACTTTCCAATAACTTAGACTTGAAATATCCAATTTGAATGAATGACCCCTCATTTTAAAGATCACATACTCAGGTATCTGCAAATACCAATAACTTGAATTTCAATTTTTGCTACACCTTAGCCATTTTGCCACAACATGCCTCATTTAACACCCGTTCAGGCTAGAACTTGAATTGGCTGTTTCTCGATCATTTCCACTCCACAAAAAACTCGTCCAAACGTACCCTAGAGGTGCCATAATCATAAATTTTCTTACCTCAGCCTCAACCATGATGGGACTGAGGTAGTATTACATCCTATCTGTAAACGTCCTTCTGGGGACCCTCTATATTGATCAATGGATCATCATTCCTCCATATAAAAATTAAACATTCAGCACACAATATCAAGTCTTATGTACTTTAAGTAAATAAAAATCGATATTTATGTGCTACTCACTTTATCTATTCTGAAATAGCCTCATGATGGTTGGAATACATCGTGATAGGTGAAGCAACCTCGACCATGACAACGTGGTTGACAGATTTCATGCAAAATTTCCAAAATATAGAATTTCACTTTCAAGAATGAGGATTTGAAAATAAATTAGATGGTTTTATTGCATACTCTTCGTTTCTTGCTTTATTCAAAATATTTGAAAGTTACATGTCATTGCACGAATTGAGTTCTTAATTTTCTCACGTTTAATAAATGATTTAGGTAGAGCATCAGCAGATATCAAGTCTTATGTACTTTAAGTAAATAAAAATCGATATTTATGTGCTACTCACTTTTCTGAAACTGCTGTGCCCCCACCCCCCGTTTCGAAAAATTCTGGATCCTCCCCTGATTTTGGTATGACAATATGCCTTGGGTCGCCACAGAAAACGGTGCATTCTGAAAGTGGATGCCACGCTGGTGGTTTGTCTATTTGGCGTTCCATATCTTCTAACTGCTTCAACTCAACTATTGGGAGATTTTACATGTTGAGTCCCGATTAGACCAGTCCACCTCGATTGTTTAATTGGATAGTATCACATTCACAAAGGTATATTTTGAACTCTTGCCAGTATTTAAACGAAGTGATTTTTTTTTCTCGTTTACTAAGTAAAGTAAGAATTAGGCCTATTTACATGACCATTGTCAACCAAGCAGGAGTTGTGGGCGCGCCAGTGACTGCCAGGGATTTTTTTTTGGGGTACAGGTAAGTGACAGATGATGCCATCATTGATGGGCCTTGTCCACCCAGTCCAACTTCAACAAGCTGACTCTATGCCTACCATGTTTCATTTTTTCCCCGACAGATTATTTTAAAGTGGCCCTCTGACGGCTAAGCTAGGCCTTTTGGACAGAATAGAGGTGGCGTCACCCCTATGATCAATGCAGTAGAATAGTTTCGGTGTTACTTAAGTTACGACAAGCATTAAAAAATGGATACGGTATTTAATTATCATCGATTAGCTTCTTAGTGGTTGTGGTTGTGTATTGGCGGCCATTTAAGCCAATATCATCATCATCAGCAATATTCTGCCAAAGCTACTAATTATCATACCGTACTCCCTCTAATAAGCGCCCCTCGTAACGTGAAGATGTTGTTAAGCACCCTGTTTTAATATGTCCTGACCCCACTCCCCTTTAAAAAAAAAATAAATAAATTGGGGAAAAAAATTCTATACCTACCATTTAGGGTTCAGGACCCATAAGCTGATTTTTTTTTTTTTTTGTTACAATGGGAAAATTAGAAGTCATCGGGAAAGCTCATTTCCTGCCATCTAGAGATCAAATTCCGGACCCCCTTTTTCTTTGGGGTTTATCGATTCATGGAAAAAAAAAAACCAATATGTTTAATACTGTATGCAACTACTCATTTTTTTTCTGTGTATACCGGTACACACATAATAGACCTATTTACTGTAATGAGAATGAGAAAGTTTACTTGACCATTTTCAAGAGGGGAGAACCTTGTCATTAAAAGACACCTCGGAAGTCTGGAAACCTCATTTCCCACCATCTAGGAGGATTTTTGTGAAACAATGTGACCCCCTCCCCCAAATGTGAACTTAGATCCACCCCTGCCAGAGATAAATGCCCTGCAAAAGATATTATCTGTAATAAGTGTAAAAGAAAGGGACATTTTGCAAGATGGTGTAGGTCAGCAGGTGCTATAGTAGTAGCAGATGTTATCCAAGGAGAAGTAAATTCATGTAGTATTGATACTTTAACAGGGGAAGGACCCATGTTTACTAATGTGAAAATTAATGATTATAATATCAACTTGAAGATTGATGCAGGAGCCGATGTTATGGTGATTCTATATTAGCTAAAAATTTGCAAATTTAGATAAAGAAATCTGATAAAGTTTTGTATGGCCCTGTTCATAACAAACTTGAAGTTGAAGGAAATTTATTGAGAAATTGATCATTTATGTCAGCGGTACTTAAAGGTCAACCAAACAAGACATCTCTGTTGTTAAAGGGGTAAGAAAATCAATAATGTAAACACAATGCCTACTAATGAGTATCCCAAGTTATTGATGGGGCTAGGCAAAATTTAAGGAGAGTATAACATAAAGCTTAAGCCAGAGGCTATGCCATATGCAGTAAATACCCCCAGGAGGATACCAATACCACTCCTCCTAACAAAGGTCAAAGAGGAACTTGCTAGAATGCAGGAGTTGGGAATAAGATGACTGTGAATATGAATCAGGGTGATCTGGGTTCAAATTTAGGGGGTGGGGGTAAACATTTTTCCCAAAAACCCTAAAATAAATCAAGATTACCTTCCGCAAGCCAACAAGAATCTCCCGGAAATAACCCATCTCTCGCAAATTCATACTTATCAGTTGTTCGGACCATCCTTCAAGTTCCTTACACTACCCCTACTATTCAACTCTTTAACACTATCCCCACTCTTACTATTTCCCAACGTGCTGATTTTCAAACTGGCTGCCTGGCCTACCGAGCCTCCAGCAATCTTGCCCCTGCTAAAATCTGTCGCGGACTTGCCAGAATTACTGTAAATGGTAGAATGTCCACACGACAAATTTCAAGGGGGGACCTTGTCGTTCCTAGACCTCAATGCGAACTTTTTAAACATTCTTTTAAATATAAAGGTCCCAAATATTTTAACTCACTTGACGTCTCTATAAAAAACTCTAGCACATTTTCCAATTTTAAAACTAAATTAAAAAGTTATTTATTTTATAATAGTACAATTTAATCTTTTTTTCTATCTACTTTTAAACTGATTGTTTTCCCTTTGTATTTTATAGAATTTTATCATCTCAAATTTTTTTGTAAGTAATCTTTTAACTTGTTGATGTTTGTTTTTTGTAAATATGTTTTATTGTACTTATTTTTTTTATTGTCGAGGGCCCCTTAAAATCAGCTCACGCTGAATGGGTCACCCTCTCAAAATATGGTTGAATAAATAAATAAATAAAAGTCTCATGGAAGTCGGTGCCGATGTGTGCAGTAATAAAATTAAATGTGTTAAAAAAGTCATCCACTGCCGGCCCGGGCCCCTAAATTTGTACAATTTATTTTTACAAAATGGGGAAATGAGTTATTTTCTAAAATTTATGTTTGAGAGTGTCAGGGGAGCAATATTCATAATCTTACCTTGGCCCCCAACCATAGTGGGGCTGTGGTGGTAGGCCTACCCTACATCTGTGAAAGTCCTTCCCTATTTCAAAATTTCTGGATTAGCCACTGTAGATTTCCCGGAAATGAATTCTTCCAACTTGGGACCTCTGCATCATCAGAATCGAGTGTGCAATGTACAGTACAGTATATTAGAAATCGGAAATAACAATTATCCCATGACCACATAAACAAGCACCTGCAGATTACCCTATAATTCACACTTTTTCGTTAGCAACAACTTGGCAACGACATGCATTTATACGCTTTCAGCAGAGCAGTTGTGCAATAAAGCGTTTGATTTTAACCCATTAAATATCTTTATAATGAACAATGTTCCCCTGATTAGATTTTTTCGGACTTTTGGTATGTTATTATTTGTATATTTCAGGAATGGATTCCGTAAAATATTTATGTTAAAATTACTTCTGTGTTCATTATAATTTTGTCTAAAGATTGATTAGTTCGACTATAAAGCTAAGTCAGTGTAAAACTGAAAAATACTCAGATTTTTCGAATAGTTAACCCTCGTTAACCCTAAAATGACTTAGTTTATTATAATCCTCAATCATTTATTAATTAATATCTGTTAAAATTAGAATTAGCGAATTTTGGCCAATTTATTGAAATTGAAGTTAAAATATACTATACTTTTGAAGGTCATGTAAATGTTCCATTAAATTCGAAACTTTTTTTGGTGGAAAATATTAATATGTTTGATATTCTATGAGAGATAAATGTATCAGCTTCAAAATGGAAACGATTGCGCAGCCATAGTGATTGATTGTATGTAGTGCGCATCGAGAAAAGAAGGTGCTCTCCATTTCGCCATGTTCAATTTTTTGGTAAACTATGCCTGCTGAAAATTTGATGGCGGGGAACACATGGGACTTCAAAGGCATCGCGCAAACGTTCTTCACGCGCTGCGGCAGCTTTGATCTTGGTTCATTTGCATAGCGCTGCGTGCGCGTAGCTTTTTCGAGTGATCTCCTTCTCAATAATACCTCCATGGTCTCACTATAAATTTCAAGAAGCAGATGAAGTTTATTGATCAGTTACAATAGAATAGGGACAAGAGAATGTGTCAGAAACGAATATTAATGATTTTGCACACACAAAACCAATGCCTGCTAACCCTGCTTCATTATTTTTAGTTTTAGCTTGAGTCTTTTACTATTGTTGTTTCTGTTGCTGTATTGAAATTGATTTTTATATCAAAAAATTCATTACAGTAAATATTTTTTATAATGCTGTAAATGTTTTTTTTTTTTTCTTTTTTGACAGAAAATGAATTCCCTAAGATTATTTTTCACCATCATTATGTGTAAGTTTGAAATTTGATGTGTTGTTATTATGCATGTAGTACGTTATGCTCTCACTGGAACTCCAAACTTTCGGTGCTATTACAACATCTTCACTAATATTGCCATATTCGAAAATATGATAATTGCCTCAAATTCCAGATTAAATATGGATTTAAAAATATTAAAAAAAAAAAATCTTACGCCAAGGTAAATACATGCTATTGCCGATACATTTTGGCAGCACTGTTTGCTTGGTGAAATTGGTGAGACTTCCCAATTGCATCAGGGAAAGCTATGCAGTGTAACAATTGCATTGAAATAGTGTAGCAATTTTATGGAACTAGATTTCAGTCACATTTTTATACCTTTTTAGTGATTATCCAAATGAAAATAAAACATGTTTGTCTTCCACTATTTATTAGAAAATACACATGTTTTAAAGAATTAAATCAAGTTAATTATCATCTTATATCAACAATAGTACTACACATAACAAATATAATAACAATATTTTTAAACCTTACAGTGATACACATTTAAAAACATTTTCATTAAATGAATTCATAGTATTTGGTGTTTATAGTAACAGTTCATTTGTAATTTGTTTGCCTTTTTTTTCTGTAGTTGTGGCAGTCAAAGAAGTAGAGTGTGAGGTGAAAACAATATATTTTTGTCCTGAACAAAGTGCAAAAATATATTGCAATATTTCCAGTTATTTCACCAAATTATACTGGAAAAACTCTACAGATTATGTTGTAGCATCACAGACTGTTAATGAGGGCAAAAATGCCAAAAAAAGTCCACATAAAACATACTTATCATCTGACCGATTTGATGTCCAAGGATTATCATTGAAAATAGCATTTCCAAAGGATGGTGAACAATTCTATTGTGATGTTGTATCGAGGAAAAAAGAAAAAAAACAGCATTTTACTCTAGTCGAGTACAGTAAGTGGTATCCTTAATAAGTATGCCAGGTAATATTTCACACCAAATTCGAATTCTGAGAACGTTCTATTAAACATTATGTATAATAAAAATACATAAATAGTAAAAAAAGTATATCCTTGCCAAGCCACTAGGGCCTATAGTGGCCGTAGCTTATCCCCAGTTTCTGTAGGGTGAAGCGGATGAGAGTGAAGCAGCCGGGTATGCTGAAGCAATGTAGATAAATTGCCTTGACACAAGCGAATTGCACAGCAAAGGATTGAAACCCCAGCCTCGAGGTTGTGAACCAGTTAGAAATCATTTAGCAACTAACCATGTGTTAGTATTGTCTAACTGTGCACTGGCATATTTTTCCAATATTTAGGTGAACCTTATCCTGATGATGTGTGCAGTTCACAAAAAGACACTAACAAAACAAAAAGCAGGCAGTCGAGAAGCAGTGGAACCAAAAAAATTACCCAGAAATTTAATGGTAATGATGATGATTGAAAAACTTCATCAGTTTTTTTTTAATTTTATTTTATTTGAATTCCAAAGTAAGCAATTTTGGTTTTATTCAAATGGAAATTCATGTGATCAATGATCATGTAAATGCTGTGCAAATAAATAGCCAATTTACTGACAATACTCAAAGTGATGATGACGAGGACTGTGTTGATTATGATGATATTATCACAAATGATATTTTATTTTCTTATAATTTAGAAACAAACTTTGTTTGCATAAATGGAAGAACTATTTTAAAATGTGATGACGGGCAACACGATAGGCCTATCGCAGAGTACTGGGAAGATAGATATGGCAAATTGATTGTGTCTAATGTGGATGGGAGACTATCAACTACGTCCGATGCCAGATATATATTTAACCATATGAATTCCACATTGTTAGTCCAAAACGTATCAAAATTAGATCATCTATTTTTTTGCAAAACTGTCTACGATGATGAAGATATCATAAAACGTTTCGATTTACTGGAATATGGTAATTATAGTCTTTGTTGTAATTACAGTTTTATAAAGTAGGACCAAGATGTAACAACAATGACAAAATGCCAGGATAACCCATAAAGCTGAAAACAGCTTAATTCCAATGGGGTCCTAAAAACAAGCAATTAAGATTTAAAAATAAAAATCTACAAAAACAACAATCATGGTTGATTTCCAAGGTGAAAGTTTATCGCACGTTTAAACTCAATTAATTCGTTAATACACTTAATACTAGATGGAAGATTATTCCAGTCTTTAATAGTATTGTAATAAAACGTTTTCCAAGCTTGGCCTTTAATATTTGGGATTACAAAGTTTTCATTTAAATTTCTAGTACTATACAGTGTTGTTCAGAAATCTTTAAAGTTATCGGTTAAATAAGGAGTATCATTGTATATTTTAAAAGCATGAACAAGCCTAAGAAATTTAACCCTTTTATTTATATTAAGAAATCCATGTAAGGAAAGTTCTTCCTGATCGACATGTGCTCTTGGGGGAAGGTCCAGAATAAACCTTACGATCTTATTTAGAGTTACTTGTAGTTTATTTTTTAGAAATGCACTTACTAACATACCAGGCAGACACGGCATAGTCGAAAATACATTGGATTAAGACAGAGCAAAATAAGTTCAGGGGATCATTGCACTAATCATAGGGCTAAATTTCTAAATTATATTTTTCTTATAGGTACACCAAAAGACAGCTTTTTTGAGGGATTTGAAAGCAATAAATGTGAAGTAGATGCAAATGAAAATGGCCAGGTCAATGTAACATTCACGGTGGCTTCTTTCAGTCCGATGGATGCAGTAACTGTAGATTGTGAACTGAATGGAGAGTGTATTGATACAAACCCGCAGTATAATGTAACCGATGATGGGAATTTTAATTTACAAATTTTTATAGATAGGAACATCGAATGGAGTCAAAATTTGACATGCACATTATCTGGTGATGCTATGTGTAACCATACTCAAGAATTTGTTTGTCACTTCAAGTTCAAGGAAAACAGTTCAAGCAGTAATAGAGATTTAGGTAAAAACATCTTTTTCTTCAGTGACTTAATGACGAGTCACAGGGCCTTTGGGCAACAGAGTTTTTGGGGCCCATAAAGCCAGGCACTCACTGTGTGCATGACGGTCGTCGGCCGACGCAATTCTATAAAGAACGCAACGCGACAACGCGTTGAGTCATTTTTAATGACAATCAGCAAAGATAATAACTATTTATGTTCTTTGCAATCGGTAGACTGCCACCGACAATGAGCAAATGACGTCGCATTGTCTATCGCTCACAGAGAGCAGAGTTAGATTCCTTGGCAGTGCAGTGAGTGCCTGGCTTAAGTCTATAAGTATTTGAGTGAATCCCTTATCTACCTTTAAACATTTCAATATTAGGGCTGAAACAAAGTCAATACCATTCAAAATACTTTTATCTCATATTATTATGTGACTATGTTAAACCATATAATCAAATTTTCTTTTCACACACACCATTTTAATATTTTTGTCTATCCTGCATGCTTACATTTTGGCCGTATTCGGCTGGTCGTTCTTTGTTAAACCACGCCCACCTGTGCAATGGTAAAAACCTACTTAACGAAGATGACCAGTTGAATATAAAACTGGTTAATACTCGACAAAACAAAATGGCTGCATATTTACTGCGATACACGCTGCGTAATCAAGGTTCCTTCGGATTGTGACAGTATGGGTTTTTCGTAAAAAGGGTTTTTATCCAGTTTTTTAATTCTGTTAGCCTACAATTATTTTTTGATTTAATGTGGGTAAATATTATAATTTATATTTTTTGAACTTTAATCTAAAATATAGTAACGCAAATGTTGTTACTAAACTGACCAATCGGCCTTGTTGTTATGGTCACCTGGATGATTTAACGCTGATTAATGCACTCTGATTACGTTAATTTTTGCTGTCAACGAAGTCTATTTACCAGTCGAATGAAAATAATACTCAACGAAAAATCGTAGTCAACGAAATGAACCAGTCGAATAAGACCATTATTTTGAATTCATTAAGATGCACATTCTCTGTTGAATTCTAGTACTAGTAGGCCTTTACTTCACTGTTTTGTTTACCATATAAATGTCAGTTTCAGGCCTAGTGGAGCCCTGTTGAGTTTAAATTTATTGTATAAAAGCTGGGGTGGCCACAATGAGGAGGAGCAGAGAAAGCTTCTGCCCTTACCCCCTATTTGTCAGGGGTAAGGGCATTTTAGTAACCTTTAAATTTTGGAAAATAACCATTTGAAACCCCAAATTGCTTGTAACTGCTATAGATACCATAATTGCTAGTCTTGGTGCCCTTTACTGTAACTGTTCTTTAATTTAATTTCATTTTAATTTGCATTCAGCAGCAGGTGGCCTGCCACTTACAGGATGGAAGCAAAAAACTGATACAAATAAACATACAAATATTAACATCACAAGTAAACCTAAAAAAAAAAAGTTTAAGTATATGTAAAATAGATTTGATCTTCTTTTTATATACTCCTACACTATTATACAATCTATGGAATTGTCTGCTTTGTTAACATTGTTATATAATCTTCAGTAGCATTGACCCTGGCAAAAGAAATTGTCAAAAGTTCAGTAATAGTATTACGGCACAGATATACCAAATAAAGTTGTTGAGTAACTGCCGTAGATACCATTAACACATTTAAATAAAAATGTTAAATCCAGAAAATTACGCCGAATTTTAAGTGCAGAAAGGTTGATAAAGACCCCGACTTACAGTCTAACTATGGAATTAAAAATTGAGATACGGGTATTTACATTTTTGATGCCAGCAATTTCTCTTGACGAGTTTCAATATCCTATTGGCTTTAAAATAATATGTTTAATATGTTCATTAAAATTAACCTTTTAGTCGATAATTATACCAAGATCACGATGAGAAATTACAAAAAAAGAATATGATTACTAATAAAATAAGGAGGTAAAGTTTTGTTATTTTTAATACAAATATTTTAAACTTTACATTTGACTTACGCCAAGTTCCATTTGCCAAGTATTGCACCATGATTTACGTTTATGTAGATCATCTTGTAAAAGGCGTGATTCATACATATGAGATATAATAATAATATAATCAATTTCAACTCATCAGCATAGAGCACAATGTGCATTGAAATTCGAAGGTAAGTCATTTATGAAAAGGGTGAAAAATGAAGATTCTAAAATTGTTCCCTGTGGGACACCTAATCTCACAGGGAGCCAGTTTTGACAATTATACTGTCACACATTTTTTCTGATTATAAAGTCCATCTGTGTTTTTGCTAATTGATATTTTTATTTTTATTTTTGCCATTATTGTAGTTGTAGCCATTGTTTTATTTATGTATTTTTCATATTATTGTTTTGATTATACATTTAAATACCCTGTATTTAAGTGTATTATATTTTCTTTAATTTCAGTTATTGCTCTTTTGTGTCTTAGTGCGGTAATTTGTGTTGGGATTGCAATTGTGTGCTTGTGTTGTCGAAAAGGTAAGTCGACTTAAACCTACTGTATTAAGCCGGCTGTCTCGAAAATAGAAAGCCACCTAGAGTCTCTGTTTTTGAATGCCTGGTCTCTCTTTTCGAAAATACCTGGATCTATGTTTTCAAATGCATGGGTCTCTGTTTTCCTAATCGATACTCAAAAACAGAGACCCAATAAAACATCAGAAAATCATGTTAAATTATTAATTAACCTACACTGCGAATTCTATCGACCGAAAATGGAGAATACAGAGAGTTGTGTATAAGAGACAGCATACTGAGCTATAACATACATATAAGGACGATAATGCAGGCATCTCTATGCGGCAGTAAAGATAAGAAGAAAAAGGAAGGACCAATGAAGTGAAGCAAAGAAAGTCCTATCATTTTATACAACAAAATGGCAGATAGGAAACTACAGTATATTGACAACTCTAGAAAAAAAATTAAATGGTTTAAGGACAGTTAAAGAGAGAAGAATCTGCCTTGTTCTCACCTAAAGCGCACTATATATAATACAGCCTATTTAATAATTACGTAACAAACCCGGCGGTCCTCTTTCTGGAAGTCAAGGAAATTGGTACATTGTTGTTCCTTTCAATTCCTTTTATTTTAGATAATGTCCCATATAAAAAAATAAATAAATAAAAAACAAATGTGATTGAAATAGAAAATAGAAATACATAATTTACTTTGTTGGATCGATTTAACAACTAATAATAATAATATCTCGCTCTTATTTAGCGCTTCATGCACAATGCCTCTAAGCGCTTCACATTACTACCCTGGTCACTGGATCAAACACATATGGAACACATACTCAGCTCCCTGGGGAGAATTCCATAATATTGCAGCTAGTAATCAGCGCAGTTGTGTTCGAACCTACAGGTACCCACTCGTACTTCTGGATGGAGAGAGGCAACTGTAGATAAATTGCCTTGCCCAAGGACACGAGCGATTTGCTCAGCGAGACTTTCGAACCCCCGACCTCGAGGTTGGGAGTCCAAGCCAAAACTGATGCGTCAACCGCTTCTACAAAACTGAGACAGAACGTAATTTTGAAAATTATAGCATTAATTCTATTGCAAACTTCCTATGCAGCGACTGTATGAGACTCCATGGCCATTGTTAATGTTAGGTGACACTCATGACTGGGGCATGTATAGCAGAATCAAGTGAAACCGGGTTATAGGCTCTGTATACTCCATGTTCGGTCGATAGAATTTGCAGTATAGGCTACCTTGCGAGTGTAATCTTCTGATTTTTTAGTGGGACTCTGGTTTTGAAGTCTCTGTTTTCGTATTGCTGGGTCTCTATATTCTAGTATCGATTACAAAAACAGAGATCCAGGTATTCTAAAACAGAGACCTGGCATTCGAAAACAGAGACCCTAGGTGGGTCTCTGTTCTCAAGTAAGTCTCCAGTCTCAGGTCTCTGTTTCAAGGTCTCTGTTTTCGAGACACCCATATTAAGCCTACATAATGTGTATGTGGGAATGTTGGAAAAGATAAAGTAGGACACAATTCTAAGACTGGTTTCACAATAATCAGATAAGCATGCTCATATTGTGTAAATGGATTATGACTGGAATTTAGGGTGGTGTGGTGAGTGTAGAAGTATATAGGCCTATTATGAACCATAAACAGAAACAAACTCACTATTCCCGAGGCTCCCGCAGCTTCTCCGAGTTTGTTTGCTTTGCAGCACTGGCTTTGCGAGGCAGAGACTTCCGGGCATGTATATATACAGGCCTATTGCAGATTATCACTTTTTTTTACAATACAATTACATTATTTTTCAGAGGAAGAGGAACATAGCAATACACAATATAAGTTGGCATCTAAGATTCCCCCCTCCAATACATCACAAGCTCCGACCAAGTAACAATAACTGCACCTCAGGAGGTCACTTAATTGAGGCATGTGTGGCGAAATGGTTAAGTAAGTTGTCGCACAGACCAGTACTGAGTAAATGAGCTATAAAATATGGGAGCTCAAAAAATTTCCTGAAAATCCAAATTTGTTTTCCACTATTATAGATCAACAGTTTAATGTCTTATTAATCATGTCCCAAAGTATTAGTTCTGGAAATGGTCATCAAATTGCTTATTTAACGTTATTTTGATAGTTAATTCTATTTAACAATGCACAAATAACTTCAGAAGGCAATTACTGTACTCCTCTTTTGTCTTTCTTCTTTTGTAATCTGTTGGGCTTTGTCCCCTCCCTTGTCGTTTATTTTAAGGACGTGACCCTAAGGAGTTTCCTTTTTATTTTCCTTTTATTATTTTTGTAACATGTTCTTGTTGGTTCTGAATAAAAGTGATTATATATATATACTCGGGTATCTTAAAATATGTATATTTTAGAGGGGTCTCGAATTAGAGGGTGCACTGTACTCCTTTAGTCCCAACATGTCTTCAACATGGGGATTTCTAATTGTCAACATGGTCTTATCAAATTGGTGCAATTCAATGCTATTAACTTTTCGTTTTATATTTAATCTAACTTTTAGTAGATTTTTAACTGTTAACTTAATTCAATCTTATATATATTTTATCTACACTTTTTAATGTTTTAAAACCATTAAAAAGTAATCATTTAATGTGTAATGTATAAATGCCAAGGTCAACTTTTTAATTATGATGCCATATATTATTATTAATATTGTATATTTATATAGTGCATACCTAAAACTCTATGCTATGTTTGCTCTATGCTCTATGTTATAATATAACAATACATTAGAATAACTCTGTACAATATTTATATTCTTCTAAACTGTTATGAGCTTTGTCAGTGCAACAAATTTCCTTTTGGATGAATAAAGTTTTTCACTATTCTGTATTTCTGTATCAAGTTTGCCACTCCACCCTTCTCACAAAACTTCATACATGGTATCGGTATCTGTGGTTCTTTAAATGGCTTTGGATTTTCTCTTTTTTAATTGGCCAGCGTACTTAACTAACAGGGTTGCACAGGGCTCCATTCTTCTTGGTCCTACACTTTTTAATTTATTTGTTGCCAATTTTCCTGATTTGATTAATTCTGACATTTCTTTACATGCCGATGATACTGCTGCCCCCAACCTTGGTTGGGGACAGCATGTTGCTTCAAGAGGAGCTTCTAGAATTCTAGGCTTTATTAGAATATTATTTCGTCGCTCACATCACTAACACTATCAAAGTAGATTGTGTTAGTTTGTGAAATCAAGATAGTGCATCAAAATACGCGCTGTTGTTAACGACTTTTTGTGTGGTAAAGAATACAAAATTGCTTGACAACCAATATACGCTCATTTTGACGCGCTACTCTGATTTCACGAACTAACACAATCTACTTTGATTGTGTTAGTTTGTGATGTGAGCGACGAATTTTGTGCAACATTCCTGCTACTTTTTAATTATGCACAGGGAAATGCTGTTGAAATGATCCAGAGGAGTGCAACTAGGATTTGCCTTTACACTAAGAACTGTTATGAAAGCTTTAATTTTAATTTGCCTTCAGTTGAACAAAGATTCCTATATTTAGCCATATCCTATGTCTATATATGTTTATTTAGTTATTAATCAGTTAATGTTTTTTCATATAATACCTGCAACACAGATCTTCTTAAGTTTGTTCACTCGTCAGTGGTGTATCTAGGAGTCTTAAAATGGGGAGACGCAAAATGGTGGTGTTTGAGGCTCGATGATTAATTGAGTGGGGTCTAGGTTGCAAAATAAAGTGATAGGTAATTTTTAACTATGGGAGAATGAATTTTTTCTCCATCATACATTTTTGGGGAGGGGCAGACTGGGGGACTCCTCCACTCCTCCTCTCCTCCTCCTCTAGATACTCCCCTGACTATTTTTCTTGAGCTACCGTAGTTGTTTTCATAATACAGTGTTATTGAATATTTTTCCACAATTTGGAGATGCTATCTCTTCTGAAATTCGGGACATTCTGCCATTTGATTTAAATTGTTTCTTAATCATTCTAAATCTTATTTATGAAGTCTGACTCCCGAAGTTTAATGTGTATATATATTTTATACATTTTATTCTGGTGTGATAAATTAACATTTTTTAATTAGGTAAATTTCAATTAGAGAATTATAAATATATATATGTATATCAACTCAGTAATGTCATTTTGTACAATGTTTTTGTTTGAAACAGTGTTCAGGAGACTAACTTCAGTAGTAATTCAGTTTGCTTTTTGGAATCCCTTCTTGGCACTGTTTTCAATTGTAATTTTTATTTTGTTTTGTAAGGCTTATTTTATGAGGGAAAATAAATGAAATGAAAAAAATAATAAATACATATTAATCATGATCCTAATAATATGAATGGTGATACAGTAATAATAATAACCATGTGTGTGTGTGCTGTCTCTTATACACATCTAGATGTGTATAAGAGACAGGAATATATTATGTGAAGTTTCTCGGTTATGCATAGGTTGCAGCGTTTTGTTTTTGGGGAGTAAGCCGATGCTCTGTCGATGATAGACCATTTAATGTTGTAGGGTGTGTTGCTATCTTTTAATTTCCATACGTATTTGGAGAGTACGGTGATGTTTCTGTGTTTGGGGGTGTTAAAAGTGTATTTGTGGTTTGTGTATCGGGTTTTGAACGGTGTGTCGGTGAGCCCGATGTAGCATTTTTTGTCATCATTTGAGTAGACAGTGGCTTTGTAGATGATGGATGAGGTGAGGCAATTTCCAGAGAGTGGACATTCATCTTTTTTCCTGCAATTGCAGAGAGTTTTTGGCTGTTGTTGCTTAGCAACCAGAAGCTGTTTGTTGTGGGCTTTGATTATACTGCCCATGTTTCTTGAGCAGCTATAGCTGACTTTGACATTGTTCTTGTTAAAGAGCTTATGTAAAATGTTGCCACTCGGGAAATGCTTTTTGACCAGGTTAAAGAATGATTTTCCGATGTTGGTTTTCACTCCTTTGCTGAATGGTGGGTTGTACCAGATTGTTTGTGTAATGTATTATTGCTAATGCATTTAATAATTTCTTCGTCAATGTCGCTTGTAGTCTTGACCACGATATTAACACAAACGTCGACCCTTGTACATATACCAACCAAACACATCTACGGGACTTCAACCTCAAGGAAATTAATGAAGAATTTGTATTACGGGAACTTTCTAAAATTAATCCTGGTAAGTCCGCTGGCCCGGATGGGATTGATGGTAAGCTCCTTAGGCTGGCAGCTCCTGTTATTGCTCGACCACTTACCTATATTCTCAATCTTTCTATTTCATCTTCCACTTCCCCCTCTCTTTGGAAAATCTCTCTAGTCTATCCTATTTTTAAGTCTGGCCTCAAAAGCGAACTTTCTAATTACCGTTCTTCCTCTTTGTTCTAAAATCCTCGAAAAAGCCATTCATTCTCAACTTTACCATTACCTTAACTCTAATAAACTTCTCTCCGAACAACAATCTGGATTTCGACCCGGTCATTCTACTCTTACTGCTCTTATTAATACTCATGACACCTGGCTTCAACACATCAATCAAGGAAACCTTATTGGCACTGTCTTCATCGACTTACAAAAAGCTTTCGACACTATTAACCACTCTATCCTGCTCAAAAAACTTCCTTTCTTTGGCCTTTGTGATAACACTATCCTCTGGTTCGATTCCTACCTCTCATCTCGCTTTCAACGCATCTCATTCAACTGTTCTCTTTCTTCTCTTCCCATTTGCACAGGCATCCCCCAAGGTACTATCCTTGGTCCCCTTCTTTTCTCCATTTATATAAATGATCTCCCTAACTGTTTAACTGATGATTGGCTCTGCCAACATGTTCGCTGACGACACTATTATTTACACAGCCAATAAATCATCTGTCCTTATTCAACAAAATCTCAATAACAATCTCAATAATCTTTTCTCCTGGCTCTCTGCAAATAAATTACACTTAAATATCAAAAAACAAAAGCTATGCTTATAGGATCATCTGAAAAAGTCAGACGAAGTCAAGCTATAAAACTTACTATCAACCAGCAGTCTATCGAAAACGTCACTTGTATTAAGCACCTTGGTGTCTATATTGACAGCAATCTCACTTGGAACAACCACATCTCTTACCTTTGCAACAAACTTAACTCTTCTATTTTTCTCCTTTCTCGAACTAGATACTTTATTAACTTTCAAACAGCTCTGCTTCTTTATAACTCCCTTTTCTTACCCCACGTCGATTATTGCATTACTGTGTGGGGTTCAAAACCTAGCCACATTTCCAAAATTCAAAAACTGCAAAACAGAGCCCTTCGGACCATCCTTCAAGTTCCTTACACTACCCCTACTATTCAACTATTTAACACTATCTCCACTACTATTTCCCAACGTGCTGATTTTCAAACTGGCTGCCTGGCCTACCGAGCCTCCAACAATCTTGCCCCTGCTAAAATCTGTCGCAGACTTGCCAGAATTACTGTAAATGGTAGAATGTCCACACGACAAATTTCAAGGGGGGACCTTGTCGTTCCAAGACCTCAATGCGAACTTTTTAAACATTCCTTTAAATATAAAGGTCCCAAATATTTTAACTCACTTGACATCTCTATAAGAAACTCTAGCACATTTTCCAATTTTATAACTAAATTAAAAAGTTATTTATTTTATAATAGTACAATTTAATCTTTTTTTCTATCTACTTTTAAACTGATTGTTTTCCCTTTGTATTTTATAGAATTTTATCATCTCAAATTTTTTTGTAAATAATCTTTTAACTTGTTGATGTTTGTTTTTTGTAAATATGTTCTTGTATTGTCGAGGGCTCCTTAAAATCAGCTCACGCTGAATGGGTCACCCTCTCGAAATATGGTTGAATAAATAAATAAATATATATACACATACATACACTAAATTATATATATATAGATTTAAATATTGATTTATGCTATGGGTGATTGAATGAGAGATGCTTTGTTAAACATCGTAAATATCTTTTATTCAATATGGTTTATTAGTTTGATGGGTAGCACCTAAGATGTTTTGTATCATGCTTAACAGATAGCTACAAAATATTTTTTATCACATAGAATCCCATATAGAATATCTGCTTTTTATCTGTTAATACTTTTAAGATTAAATATCTGGACAAGATATACACATGGTGCAATGCTATTTTCTTTTTTTCTTCCTTAATGCAATGATAATTACATTTTGTTTGCTTGATATTTCAATTTCTAGTTTTATGAATCTAAATTTACTTAATACTATTTAATAGCCATGCAATAATCATTAAAATATATATACTAACTAAATATATTAACCTTATTAGTTAGGAATAGTAAAAGTTATCTTAGATTCATGATAGCTACCACAGTAATAATTATAAATCATGTTTCCACCTGAATGTAGTTTTCCAAGATCAAATTATTGTTATGGATGATTGATTATGTGTTAAACACGCACTCTGCTATGTACATTCTACAATAAACAATATGCTTTGTTCTAATTACATCTGTTTATGAACTTTATTTTGTGTACAAATATGGTTTTCACTGTTGCTATTTCAGAAGTTGCAAATTATAATAGTAAAATAATAACATTGGAGCAAATAGGTTTTACATACAAAACATATGGAAAGACCTGGGCATGAGTTACAGGTCTGTAATTATATAGCACGTCACACTGCGGTGGGAACAAACTGGGGAACTGTTCCTACTTTCACCATGTTGGTTTTTTTTTTTCAACCATCTTTCAAGAGGGTAACCCTTCCAGTTTAGCCCAGTAGGTTAACTGATATTCAGGGGCCCTCATTAATAAAATTAAAAAACAGTACAAACAACATCGTTACAACATAATAATAATAATAAAATAATAATAATAATAATAATAATAATAACAACAATAACGTACAATCCTCATAACAAGTCTTAAAATTATTAAATTGACTTGCATAAGGACATAATTCAAAATAAAAGTCTAATTTATAATGCCTAATATAATATAATATAATATGTACAGTAGAATTAAACTTGTATCTCAAATGCTTTAAAAATAGTCTGTGTTTATCAAAATATGAGCACTTATTAAATAAATTGAATTGCCACATCAATTTTCATTATCAGAGGAGAAAAAAAATGTAAGTATAGGTACTGGGGGTGTGGGAGAGGGTAGGGGGACATGCACGTGGACGTCAGTTGAAAAAAAAGTTTGTTGAACAATACTGTTGGAAAGAACGTGCCATTTGTCATGATAAATGCAACAAAAATTATTGGTCTTAAAGTGAAAGAAGAGAAGTGGGTTGGCATGTTTGACGGCGAGCCCCTTTCTATACCGGTGCCACAAGACACTATCTTTTTGTAGCTCTCCATATGGTACAGACATTTTCGTGATCAAACAGCTGACTTAAAACATGGCATTAAACATCTAATAAATCAACACACCGACTTGTTTATTTTTATTTCCATTTTTAATGGACCTGGCATATTATGTTCGATCCTGAAATATTTATTTATTTATCTATTCTTTATACTGAATATACACTCTCAATACATAGTACTGATTTCCAAAGTAGTTCACTTCTTAACTACAAAATATTTTGAAAGCAGATATATATACACATTGTAACCGAAAAAGATCAAAAATTTAACTACAAATTAAAAAATAGAATTAAAAGGAACAAGTAAATAAAACATTTGAATAATATGTAAGGTAAGAGAAAATCAGGTTAAATTAAGATGGTATTATCGATGATTTGAAATAGAATGCTTGAAATTTGAAAATGTCATAGATTCAAAGTTGGTTTTAGTATGATCCGGGAGTTTATTCCATAATTTAGTAGATCGGTATACAAAAGTTGTTTTACCTTTGCATATTATTCCAGGTGTATTTTTACTTTGACTGCGAGTACAATGCGTATGCAAACCATAATTAAAGGCAAAATTTTTTGATAAATATGATGGAGCTTGACTATTAAACATTTTAAAATCATTATGAGCAATTGTTCGTCCCATTTATCACTGATTTTGCTCCACCCTAATGAACTTGAAATATTTACAACTGGGGGTTTTATGTCTGCAAAAAGTAAAATTCTTCCTAATCTGTTTAAAAGTGTTTGAAAGTTTAATATTACATTTGGAACAAACACAATTACAGTATTCAAGAAGAAGCATAACTAAAGCATTAGCCAACTATTATGGGATAACAAATATTTAGCACGGCGGATAACACCAATGCGTTTAGAGATGTTACAGTTAATTTGTTTTAAGTGTTCAGACCAAGTCAATTTAGAATCAAACACAACTTCAAGAACTCTGTCAGTAGTCATGCCATTATAAAATAATGAAATATTTGAAAATTTAGGTAAAATTGCATTAGTTCCAAAGATCATACGTTTAGTTTTCTTAATATTTAATTAAGTTTATTTTTATCAAATCATTCAGCAATTTTGATTAAATTTGAATTTAGTTCATTTTGGAGAAGAGTGGATTGGAAGAATTGCACAAAATGGTAGTATCGTCTGCATACATTACATATTTACCTTGAGTGAGATTTTGTAGGGAATTAACATAGATAATAAATAGCAATGAGCCTAAAATGGATCCTTGGGGAAAATACCAATGTTAATTTTCACTGGATCAGGTAGGGTTGAATTAATTTGAACATTTTGAGACCTATTATTAAGATAAGACATTAACCAATTTAGGGCGGATTCCTGAATTCCATAGTCATGAAGTTTTGATATGAGGAGTTTGTGATCAATTGTGTCAAAGGCCTGTCTCAAATATATAAAAATGGCTGCAGTTGCTTTGCCTTCATTTAAATTATTCAGAATATAATCTGACACATCAAAGGGTTGGTGAATGGTTTTTCCTAAAGCCAGATTCAGATTCATTCAAAATATTAACTCTTGTCAAATAATCATATAACTGTTGGTGTCGTATGATCTTAGTTACTAGTGGTAGGATGGATAGGTCTGTAATTGTTTGGATCGGCTTTGTCACCCTCTTTGTAAATAGGAGTGACCCTTGCTAATTGTTTCCATTCAAGTGGAAATATTGAAGTAAATAGTGACAGATTAAATGTATAAGCAAGTGAGTGACAATTTACAGGTGCTGCCAATTTTTTAAAGTTTATAAAATATATAAGAAATATATAGGATTATACCATTTTTCAAGAATTTTAGGATACTTTCCTTGTTATACACTCTACTTATCGTTTTTCCTTTCAATATTGGCCTAACATCTTCTATGTGTAACATATATAACATTAAATGGTGATTGCCATATTTTTGACCAATGAAACCTTTAAGAGACCAACAACAGAATGTGTGCACCATTTCCACCAGCAGCAAAAGTGCTGACTTCAGACTCTTAACTGAATTTTGTTCTGAGTTTTAGTTTTTGGTATTATTTGCATTTGAAACTGACTATTAAGCCAATATGTTCAATGCTGAAACTTTTTTTATAGTCTTCAAATAGGCCTACTTAAAGTTTTATCATGGCATTTGTATCACTAGTATTACTAGTAGTACTATTATTTGTCACTAGTTCATTGGAGTTAGTGATGCCCATGGGCATCTAATCTGTGTAGACCAGATTCCATCGATGTTACCATATAATAGATAGTGGGGAAAATGGTGATAATAATTGCATTCCAATTTGTTTAATTTCGTGTATGGTAGTTTTATTAGATACCAGGCCTGGGATTTATCAATCTCAGCTTAGCAAATGTAGGCCTACGTTTTTTTAAGTCAAAAAAAGTTGAGATGTCCCGAAGCAAATAGACATAGGGTATATTAAACTGATTTATCAAACCATTTTTGCAAAATCTTAGATTAAAATTGTCTTCGATGGTCCATGTGTACAATTGACTTTTTAATTTTAAGCAATTTAATAAGCAAAGCTACTTTTCTGTTTTTGTTTTTTGTTGAACCATTAAACTTTGTTCAACTGCTAGAGGGCGCTACCATGATCTGCTCATTTTTCTCACATCATCCATCATCACACCAAAGATCGTATAGCGCCGCGTTATGATCACACTTGACCTGTTGAAATATTTGGCGCGAGGGAAAAGCAAAACGTATTGTTTTCCAACATCCTTTCAGTCATATTGCACAATGAAATTGTCTTCGGGTGCATTGAAGGTAGTTTACTTTTATTTCTCATATTATATTTTGCAGTGATTTCAAATCAGTACAGTGTTCTCAACTATAAGAACTTAATTGTCCTCTGATTCTGACTGACGGGCTCAGTCAGCGGTCAGGCTAGGCTACCCATTCCCCTCTCTCTGGAATCAGAAGGACATGTCTTGTCACGTTCCATTCTCTGTCTGAGCCTGCCATGTACCCGTTGTCATGTTATGGTAGTCTTTGCCTAGCCTGGGCCTAGAATAGAAAATATACCCTACCGTGGATTGGATTTTAACACCAAGGATAAGCCTAGGAGACCTAGCTAGGCCTGGGGCCTAGGCTAGCCCACGAAAGTCTAGAAAGAAGATTTTAGGCCTAGGCTAGGGCCTATCTCCAGTGGGGTCCTTTTTTGGTGGTGATTGGGATTACACAGGAAGACAATCTTCTACTCTTTTCCGAAGAGTGTACTGCAAGGTACGGATATTCGCAAGGCTTTCTAGGCCCTAGTCAAAACGGCAATAAACCAAATTGGCAATGACCAGGATGGTATGGTAATAAACCAAAACCGCACCACTTTTTACCAAAACGGAAGCAAGTCAAAATGTCAATAATAGTTTGAGTTATCCAAATTAACAACAGACAAGAACAGCTATCCGTGTTTTCTCAATCTGTATTACATAAATGGTTATTTTGTATAAAAATTACAAATTTAAATACAATTGAAGGTTGTTTGAATATACAGTATATTTGAAAACTGCATGAAGGCTGACTCTTGACAGAACAATGTTAGATTCAATCAACGACAATATAAAAGCGGTAAACATTCAAATAAATAAAACTTTGAAATTCAGACAAAATGGCTAAAACAATTTAGGCCTATGTCATAGAAGTAGAAACTGCAAAAAAAAAAAAAAATAATAATATTAATAATAATAAGCCAAATAACATTATAACAACATACAAATTCAATAATAAAAAGATTGGGTAAACACAATATGAAAGCAGTAAACATTAAAATAAATAATACTTTAAAATACAAACAAAATGAGGCTAAAACAATGTAAGTCATAAAAGTAAGAAATGCTGCACAACAACAATAACAATACCGTTGAACTTGCCTAAGTTGAATCCAAAATGTCATTGAAAAATTGTTCAACTTAGATGAAATTCAACTTACAGATTGTTAATTAATGAAAACGCAACAATTTTGCATGTAAAATAAGGTCGACTTAGAAATTATTCGAGTTAGGCATAAGTCAACTTAGGCAAGTTTAATTGTAATAATAATAATAACTAGCATATACCCGTGCTCCGCATTGTGTTGAATGAGTGGGGAAAGGTGGTGATGTACATTGTTGAATGGGTAAGTGTAGGCGAAGGCGAATTCAAGGTGAATTTTTTTTCGAGTGGATGCTAGTTTGAGCGGAAGAAGATCCACTTGTGCAAACAACAACCTGTGCAAGTTATATACGAATTTCTTCAAAAATTTCCTATTTTTGAGCTAAAAATTTGACATTTTTAAAGGGGAAGGGGGCACACAACAGTTCCAGAATAGATAAGTGAGTAGCATAACTCAATTACAAATATAATTTGAGCTAAAAATTTGACATTTTCAAAGGGAAAGGGGGCACACAACAGTTCCAGAATAGATAAGTGAGTAGCATAACTCAATTACAAATATAATTTGCTTTTTTAAATACAGAACCCCAACTAGTGGCGGATCTGGGGAACGGGGGAGGGGTGGTGAATAGGGTGGCTAGCCACCCCACTTTGTTTACCGTGAAAAAAATAATGGTCACTCGTCTTGTGTGTGTGCTTCTCATGCACTCTAGTAAAACATACACTTTCTTCTTTTTTGAGCTGAAAAGTGCGCAATTCTATTATAGTTTTAACTTGTTAGAGGCCATCTTGGTAGTCGTAGTTGCCAAGACTAATTCAAACATGGAGTAATTATCAAAAAGTACTGTACTAAAAACCTTTCAGAACCTTAGTAATCAGAGCATTTTTTTGCATTTAAAACAAACAAATACAAGAATACGGCGACGACAAATTCGCCCTTGTTATAGTTCACACTAAATGCATCCGTTCGAACTGGCATCAGCTCGAACTGACATCCACTCGAATTGACTGGCATCCGTTATGGTTACCACGTTATTATTTTTTCTAAAACTTAAACTTTACCAGTTTAGTGTCACTATCTATCTTAATGCACTATCCAAATCGACCCGGATTCGAGAGGTAGAGGATAGGTCCAATAACATGGTATGGTATGGTTAGGCCGAGGTACTACAGTATCATGGCTTGTGCCCTGGTGTATCTTTATTTTTACCTGATTGACTTCTAAAACATGTCATTTATTGCTGATGTTTGAGCCATAAAACTACAATAATATCCAGTATAATGCAAAATTGGCTAATCTGAAGAGGTATGGAAACATGCAATTTTGTTGACGAACGTGAGAAGTACTGCGTGGTGGTGTAATGAAGCTGTGAAACATAGACTGGTTCTTTTATGGCCTGCCTCCATAATTTTTAGATCTAAGAATTGCAGTAATTTTAATTACTTAAATTGTATTTATGTGACGTAAGCAACTTGCGAAACAGGTACTGATTTTCTGTGGCTTGTTTTTTCGTTGTTATCTAATATCCAGCCTTGGAAAGTAGCGGAATGTGGTCGTGACATACAGTATAGAAACCCCAGTATATGAGATATGAGCACATTCCTGCCAGGGGTTTCAGTGGAGATAGGAGAAGTTATGCGATGGCGATTAGCAGAATTAATATATAGATAATTTCTCTAAATTGGACTTAAGGGGAATATCTTTTGTGTTATTTTCCCCTTAACATTGTTTTTTTTTTAACTGTTCCCTTTAAGGTAGCTTTTAGTAACATAACAATAATAATAATAATAATAATAATAATAATAATAATAATAGGCCTAATAACAACATACAAATTCAATAATAAAAGGAATTGGGGAAACACAATGTAAAAGCAGTAAACATTCAAATAAATAAACTTGTAAACTGCTGCCCGCGCCCAGCGGCACTTGCTCTTGGCATTGATTTTGCTCTTTGCCGTTTTGGTCTACTGTATGCCTGTTGCCTTTTTGGTCTGTTGCCGTTTTGATACTTATCATTGCTGTTTTGGTCAATGCTGTTTTGGTTTATTACCATTTTGACTTGCTACCTTCACAACTTCTGGATTCCAACTCCAACAAATATTAACCACCCTGCTATGTAGGCCGGGGCCTAGGCACTATACAATACTTCTATATCATATAGGCCTACCCTTCGGATTGATATGTACTGCATATGTAAATATGTTTATGTATGAAATAACTTATACCCATAAATGGAAGGGGTTAATTGCCTTCTTTTGCATTACCTTCTCTGATTTTGCACCTTTTTAAATGGCCTGCTCTCAGCTCTTCATTGTTATACCAAATTTTAACATTGTATATACTTTAATATACCTAGTTTTATCCATCTTTATATTCTTGCGACGGTATTACATATGTATCATTTTCAATTTTCTAGGAAATTTCAGTGGATAGCAAGCATGTAGACAAGCCTATCTTCCAGCTTTTGGTAAGTTATGAGAAATTTTTTTTGACTTTGATGAAATTACATAAAACAAGTAAATTATGCATTTTTTTGTAGAAGGGATGAATGTAAGTCAATATTGCTAATAGTGGTATTTTATTTTCAGGCCCTTAAGAAGATTGGTGCGAATAGTGGGAGCAATGACCGTTACAGATTGCTCCTCTCTGATGGTCAACACAGCTATTCAGGTTTGGCACATTTTATAATTTTTCAATTAAATATTTACACTTTTCACTGCAATCCTGTTGGTACTAATACTGGTATAGGCATTTATAATGTGCCTCTTCTTCCTTGCGGTTATAAAGAGCAGTTCTTTTCCCTCGTCAATGGGTTCTCAATGCTTTAAGTGTTGCTGCTGGTAATTAGTGCAGGAGCAAGCAACCCCGCCAGGTGCCCATTTATACTTCTGGGTTGAGAGAAGCAATGCAGAAAAAGTGCCTATACTCAAGGACACATACAAAATACACAGCGAAGGATTGAAATGACTATCATTCATTAAATTGCTTTTTGTTTTCAGTACAGTAGGTAGAGGGATGGACAATGGTCTCCCTATTTTCACTTTTGAAAATTAAAAATTATCTTTCTAGAATAAGTCCCTTACAACTCAAACCCCTCTTTCTCCTTCATTTTAATATCCTAATTTAATCACATCCAATGAACTTGATGTATTGCAAGATTGCAAGTTTTATATGTATTTTAAGTCTGTCATAAAATTAAGTATAGGTCTCTCTGGTTCCAAGTATAGACCTTTTTTCTACAGCCTCGTATGAACATCTATCTTTAATGAGAATAATTGTTTTAATTAGAAGCCAAAGCTGCTAACTTTTGACCACTGCAAGTGGTCTTTAATTTAAAGGAGTTCTTTTCAATTGGTTACTTTTTATAACATAATTATTTACAGCTATGTTGGGAACACAGTTGAATTCTCTAGTGAACAATAATCAACTTCAGCCAAAAACTATAGTCCAACTTGACAAATACATTTGTAACACAATTGGAGATACAAACAAGTAAGTGAGTGACCATTTGAAAAGATGTTATTAGACTAACTGTGGTGGTATGATACTTTAATTTACTGATTTTTTTTACAACAATAACAATCTATGGAGGGTAAATATTTGTCCACATGACAAAAGAAACTTGGCCTGTTGGTGAAAAAGTGTTACGGATTGCAGTACACTATAATGAACCTAATTCTCAATTTGAGTCTTATGCCATGTTCTTATTAAATTAGATGGAGGAAAATTCTACCTTTTGTAGTCAAATTTGACCACTGTTTTGCACTTTGTATTGAATACACAGTGTTTTTAGGTAGTAAGATTATGTGCATGCATGGTAAGTTTAATCATGGATACATTAAAGGAAAAGTTCAGCACGCAATATTTGGCTGCAAGTCATGTGATGTGAAATGTTTTTGTTTTTGTTTTTTTTTATAAAAATGTTTAAAAAATCCTCTGCAGTGATTGTTAGCTGCTTAAGCTTCTGTGTCTGATTCAAGTGTTTTAACATTTTTATAAATGGTGAATATTTTGGTGTCTTTGTGTTCAAAGGAAATACCTTAATCAAAAATATAACCTATCTGTTATTCAGGAAGGTGATGATAGTACTTGAGGTGTCTATATTGGATCAACCAAATGAGAAGATTGGAAACCCACAGCCCTTATCATCTACAAATCAGCAGCAGCAAAATCAGGCTGCTCCAGCACCTGCCCCAGGTGTGGACATATTTTTTTAAAAACATTTATAGCAGAATTTAAGAATATTAACTGAGGTATTTGTGTAAACTTAAAAAAACCAAGTCCTACATAAAATGGAAGATTACATTGTTTATCCCTTAACTATGTACCCATATAAGCATCCTGATGCTTATGTATTTAAAAAATCTTCAAAAATGCTTGTTTGGAAAGCTTTAAATACTTTTAATTTACATTTTTTTACAGCTCAAACTATTAACAAACCAGTCCCCAAGTTTCAAGGTAGGCTAAACATCAATAGCATATATATTGGTTTTTTTCATTTGATGCCAGTTAAAAAACCAGTGTATTTGTAAAGATTATTAATTCTTCATCCACCAGAGTCATTCTAAAAATTATTTTACCAGAATTGCCTTATAAATTTAAAATTAATAAACAGACATATGATAATATGTAGAAAACTGTTCTTTTTATTTTTGCCGTTTTAGGTGGCTCTTCAAACAAACCTGCTGGTAACTTCTACAGCAATGCACCCACGACTCCTGGGGGAACACCTGCCAAGGCCCAACCAATTGCTAGTCTGACGCCGTATCAGAACAGGTAAATTCTCAATTATGAAAGAACTCTGCTAGGCTATATTATCGTAGCATACCATAGCCTCGATGGGTCTAGTTCTTCAGTTATAGGCTTCACATCTAGCAAAGAATATAGAATTGCAAGATGTCTAAATCTCGGGGTTTAGTTGAAATGCAGTCCTATTTCAAAAGTACTACCACAAACTAGAGGGCATCCTTCGAAAGAACAAAATTGTCTGGTATCGAAGGCAATACAATGGGTACTTAAAAGTCTCTTTCAATCTTACAATGTTCTCTCTCAGATGGACTATCAAGGCTCGTGTAACAAACAAGACAGCGATCCGCAGGTGGAATAATTCACGTGGAGAGGGAGAGCTGTTCTCTATGGATCTGGTGGACCAATCTGGTGAGATACGTGCCACTGCTTTCAAAGAGCAATGTCAAAAATATTATGACCTGATACAGATTGGAAAAGTATGCTTATTTCTTTTCTTACTATAAATTCTTTATTTTTTATTTTGCGGCTGTCAACACAAAGTGTACTAATCTATCACACGTTTTGAATTTAAGACCTAGGGATTGAAATGCAATATTAAGAAAATATATGGTCAATTATTTCCCAACTCATTTCTTTAGAATGGCTAACCCATATCTATCAAAAACTCGCCCACTTTTAATTTGTTTATGCTGAATATAACATCCTTCTGCTCATTTTCAACTATACAGTAATCAACCAAGTTAGCAAGATGCAGTATTGCTAAATCCTGAAATGAGCACACTACTTCACAATAACATTAATGCTTCTAACTGATTGCCTTTATCCCATTCTTAGGTGTATCTTATCAGCAAGTGTGGACTAAAACCAGCTAACAAGCAGTATACTTCCATTGACAATGATTATGAGATGACCTTCAATCACGAAACCATTGTCCAACCTGTAGATGAAGATGTTGAAGAAATTCCCGGAATGCAGTTCAACTTCAGGAAAATTGATGAACTTGAGAACTGTGCCAAAGATACTATCTTAGGTAAGTTTATAACATAAAGGTGCAGATGTAACACCCAAGATGATGATAATGATTGTAGAATGGCATTGTCTGTATTTAGCACTTTCGCAAGTATTGCTTTAGGTTTGCAATGAATACCAGAGCTAATAGCTTTGGTTTGAATAAACTGTATGCTCATACCAATAATATCTTTAGGAATCCATGTACGATTAAGAGCTATGTTCATAATTCAGATAATGACTTAGGTATAAAGCATCACAGAATTGAGTCTTCCGCTAATAGATGAGATTGAAATCGAAAATCCACCATAAATGTTTTGCTTTTTTGCAGATGTTATTGGGGTGGTGAAGAGTGCTGGAGATTGCACCACAATCATGACACGCAACAGTCAAGAGGTCGCCAAGAGGGACGTCCAATTGGTTGATGATTCAGAACGCATTGTAAACCTGACGTTATGGAGAGAGCAGGCTGAGACTTTTGATGCCAGTAACAACCCAGTGCTGGCTATTAAGGGAGCCAAGGTGTCCGACTTTGGAGGAAGATCTCTTAATTTATCATCAGGCGCAGTGTTGCAGATGAATCCAGATATTCCCAGAGCCCACCAGTTGAAGGGATGGTTAGTATTAAATTTTCATGTATTTACTCAACTATTGATCAAATAATGATTATCATTGTTGAGGGCCAAAATTTTTGTTAGGCCTAATTTTTAAAATACATTTGAGTTGTACACACTTGGTACGACAGACCCTTAACCAATGAATCAAACTCTCCTCTGTTTGAGTGTTTAATGACGTCTGCTGACTGCCTAAACAGATTGTTGTTGAATCCAATCTGTTGCACATGCCTGGTCATGTTGTGGTCCCACGGAATCGGCCAACACTGTTTCTTCTTGGTTTAAATGGTGACAACTTAGGTGCTGAGGACTTTCCCCATATCTTTCTCTAGACATGCTCCTCGGCAGAATTGTACCTTTTTTTTTTAGTAATTAGTAAGTTATTGATCATCAAACTTATTGACAAAATGAAATACAATAAAACAAGCACAATTAAATGATGTAATACAATTACAATAATGATACAAATTCTTTTAGTTTGATGAAAACTTTAGCAATCTTCTAGTACAGTATTTGTATTACTAGTTTGTTTTTTACCATAACTTTTCTTTTTATATACTCGCTAATAATGTATTTAAGTTTAGTTTTCTGGGGCTCCAGACTTTAGTCATGGTGATTTTGTTGCTTTTGTGGCCCCAATGAAATAGTATAAAACTTATGTTTATTACTCCGTACAGGTATGACAATGTTGGTTACTCAAAGGACATGCACTCAATCTCAGAACAAAGGGGAGGTGGAGGTGGAGGGTCAGCGAACTGGATGACCATTAAAGAGTCTCAAAATCTTGGACAAGGTGAAAAGGTCAGTAATATATTTTAGAATGGAATTTAAAAATTTGAGGAAGCAAGTATTTTACGTTCCTATAAAGACTTGTGGATTGGGAGTTCCAAAGCTTAAGGGGTAGGGGATTGTGTAGGGTGTGGTTGTTTTATTTAGTAAAATATTGTTTTTTTTTCCTTCATAAGCCTGACTACTTTACAATGAAGGGCACCATCATGCACATGAAATCAGAAAATTGTCTTTATAAGGTAAGCAAATATTCTTTGATTTTGGCATTGTAATTAAATACTTAATAAATTACTAACACATGGCCAAGGCATACCACAGAATTTGATGTTGAAGATTCAAAAGGTCGCCAACTTAAGTCATGGCGAGATGTTGTGTGGGGCGGGGGGGGGAGAATAGAAGTTGCTGCAAACCTTAAAATGATAGATTTCTATTAATATCTAAGTTTAACTTTTGATCTTAACACAAGGAAAAATTTCTTAATATGAATTTTTCGGCCGCTCATTACGGCCTTCCTCAGCATATGGACTGGAATGTGGTTGAAGAATGCTACACCAATTCATGGCATGTGGTCGTGTGAACATATGAACATAAAAGTCTGATCATCGATTTTCGGTAGCTTGCGTCAGCCTATCTCAGATAAAAGTTGGCATATTCACCCGGATGTACATTGCCTCACTTAAGTGTAAAGGATTCTCCATCCAAAATTTGACCTGTGCTAAGTTTCAATTTGTGACTACATGATTTTGACATTACTCTAGTCTTAAAAGCTATGTACATTAATTTTGTCTCAACAGGCTTGTCCAGAAAAAGACTGTAACAAGAAACTGTTAGATAACGGTGACAACACTTACCGGTGTGAGAAGTGTAGTAAAACTTGCACAGATTTTAAGTATCGATTGATCCTACAGGTAAAAATAAGGAGCTCACAATACTTTTATGATGTTTGAAGTTTATTTTATATCTTAACCATAAATTTGAGCCCAGTTGGTACCATATTACCAACAAATTGTAAACCCTAAAATTTGGCCTATGACTGATTAAGTAAAATAAACTCCAAATTACCAACCATAGTTGGTATATCATGTAATTATCATGTAAAATATGTATATGTGGCAAAGACAGGCCAAACCAGTCACTCGTCACAAATCATATTTAGGAGATAATGACTAAAACAAATTGGAATGACAGAATTTTCTAAATTTATTTTATTGCACTAAACTACATTAATATATCTATACATCATGCTATGTTATTTTCCTCATTCTCAACGTTAAACCAGCATTTTTTTTAATGATATATACATAAAACAAATAAAATTAACCTGAAACTCAATTTCCATATGTGACCTAGCTAGGGAAGCAAAATATTTGTTTGGCTTTATTGCCATAACCATTGTCATTGTTTCTTCATTTCTTTATTGTAGTCATATATTCATGACTGTACAGGGAGTGTGTGGGTCACAAGCTTCCAAGACACTGCTGAGTATCTGTTGGGTCAAAATGCAAGTTACCTAGGTCAACTGAAAGAAGATGTAAGTCAAACATATGTTTATTAATTTACAGAAAAAGCCGCTTATTCATTCATTACATTTTATTTATTTTTATGTTAATTTTTCGCCCTCAGGATTCAGATGCATTCAACCGTGTCTTCACCGAGGCACTTTTCAAGTCGTACATATTCAAAATGAGAATCAAAATGGAGACATATAATGTGAGTCTTTATGTCATTGATTTTAAAAATAAAAGAATTTAATTAATCAAAATAGTTTCATAAGTGTTGCTAGTTCAGTGTAAACTTGACAGTTGCTTTGTTCTGGTGCAAACTTAGGCCAGGCACACACACGGCATTGTCTGACAGTCGATAATTTCTTGTGAGCCTGCATGAAGTTGTATATGCTGGATTAAAATGTGAACATCTGTGATAAGCTGTCATGCAGTGTATATTCAAAAAACATGTTTCCTGCTATCAGCGCGGTGGAGTGGGAGGGGTTGTCAGACTAAAAGTCTTAATTTGCCTATCCAACTCTTTATTTTGATTGTCAATCCCCAATATTGTGGTCGAAAAGTACAATTTTGGGCCATACTAAGCCATAAAAACTCTCCCCATGAACCCTACCAGGAATTTTTATTCCAGCACCCTGATTGAAGCTCTAGTCAGCCCCTTCAGTGTCGGACCCCTTGTTGGCAAATTTGGGAGCCACCACTGGCTATTACATTAACATGCAGAATTAATAACTTTGTGATTACATTAAAATGAGATGTTTAGATCTTTCTTCAAATTGTTCTTACTGAATTGTCTGTTGATTCCATTTGCAGGAAGAATCTCGATTGAAAAACTCTTGCATATCCGCTGCACCAGTCGATTTCAAGGAATACTCACGAAGACTCATCACAGAAATCAACAAGCTAGCAATCATGTAGGACCACTGCTGCTATCAAAGCTAGTAGTTAAGATACATTAAGACCATCACTACTACAAATATCAACATGCTAGCTGTCAACAACGCTACCACATCTATCAATGAGCTAGCAGTCAACAACGCTACCACATCAATCAACAACCTGGCAGTCAAACTAAGAACAACACTACCATAGATGAATAATGCCAGGACAGTTATGAAATATGGGTTTTCATGTGTGTACATGTATTGATATACTATACTGGAGGGTATATTGTTTTTAACATAAATGTATCATTTACAAACATATGTGGCAAAGACAAGCCAAAACAGTCACTCGTCGCAAATCGTGTTTCAGAGAAAATATCCAAAATATGCTATAATGTCAAATTTTTAAAAATCTATTTGATTGCACTAAACTAACCTTTATACTGTATATCTATACATCATGCTATGCTGTTATTTCCCCCTTTTTCAATGTTAAAACAACACTTTTTAAGGATTTAATGGAAGTTTGTGCATGAGAAATGCCTGAAATCATAAACTTTGAAGGTAGATTTCTCATATATTGTTCTTTAAATACAGTAGCTGTATGTTTAAATGCTTGTAACGTCATAAGGAAATGTTGGATTTGAATGATTTTTTTACCATTTTATAGCTCTTATTTTACTCTTTAACTCTGTATTAATAACTCAAAATCAAATTTTGCAACGAGTGACTGGTTTTTCTAGTCTTTGCCACATGAGCTCAATCAGTGAAATATATTAAAGCTGCAATAAACTTAAGGTCTGTCCACACTATCACATTTTGTGTGATGTGCCCAAATATGGGCGTGATGATGTCATATACATAAATAGTGGACAGAGCTTCAAACAGCAAACCATATACCAAGTCAACAAATGGAATAAAAGGCAAAGCATGCCTAGAATTGAACATAATAGGGAGCGACGCTAGAACGGAATGACTCATGTGTAATTGTCCTACCGGGCATCCTACGTTTTTTGCATACGTAGATTTGGCCAAATTGTGTTCCAAAATCTAACTCAACGAGGTGACCTTAACCTTCTCGCATGTGCAGGTGACTTTTAGTGATGTCATTACGTTCTACGTCCTACCGTCATCGTGTGATTGGAAGCTCCCTAATAACCTACCATCATTGTGCAATTGAAAGCTCTGTAATAACAACTGACTAGAAAACTTAAATTAACAGGTCAATTATATTGTAATTATTTTATCATGATCATAGTCAAAAGAAGACCATTGCAAATTAACTTTGTTATAGTATAGTACATTTATTAACCAATAGTTCACATTACTTTATTTGTATGTAGAACCTACAACACATTAGCATCCTTTGTTGGACTATTCTTAAAGATGTCCCATGCAAATTACCCCCCAAAAAAAAAAAAAAAAATCAGTTTTTAAATTAACTTGCTCATTTTGAAGTAACATACAAATTATCAACTTTAACAAAGAAATTAATGTTTACCCATAATTTGACAGTGGAAAAATGATAGAAACATTCCAGACACTGGAAGTGTTTTATTATATTTATCATTTTATCCAGTATAAAAATCAGGGTACACATTTTTTTTTAAATTCAATAGTTTCTATGCTGAAGTTAATAATTTGTATGTTACTGCAAAATGAGCATCTTAATTTCAAAATTTTATATTTTTTGTCATTTTCAGGGGACTATTTTAATACAGCTAGTCCAAAGTCCAGTATTTCTAATAAATCTTACTAGTATGTAGCAAACCCATTCACATTATTACAAACAGCAACATTTGTAGGCCTATTGCTATTTTAGTACTGCTACTGTAAGTCAAAACTGCTGCCATTTTGACTTGTGCTATTCTGATCAGCTTCGATAAAAATTCTACAATATGCATGGTAGTAAATATAAGCATGCTGTATATTAAAATAAGGATGAAATTGAAAGGATTAGTTAAAACTGTGTTAATTTGAGAGCCTTGAACATTGTCCCTATAGAATCTGATGAGTAGGGTCATGAATAATCAGAAGCATTATGTTCATCAGCAATCTTGCAGAAGTTTTAATTTTAAATGAAATTTAAGAAACTGGTTAGCATTATATTGAATGAGGTCGGCAAATAAAAAACAATTCCAGAATCCTACAAAACAAAGATATAGTTTAGTTCTTTTTTTATTAAATAAAATAAAACGTGCATTAGATTCTGAAGTTTCTTGTTTCAACAATGTTTTGTACATTACATATTTCCCCATTGTAAACTGTAGACTTAAAAGGAGTCCAATAAACACAATGCTCTGAGGATAAATGTTCTTTTTTTCAATCATTGTTGGTAAAGTAGTTTTATTTCATTTCTTTATTCCAGCATTTACAACAAATAGCAATGAACAAAAAGCAAAACAGTATAAAGAGTCAAATCAATGTCCAGGGGAAAAACCAATAGTGAACTTAATCACTTTTGTGGGCATCCCAGCATTAAATGACAAAAATTAAATAAGCAGTTAACAAGAACAACATTGTTTATCATTTAAATTTTTAAAATAGATCATGGAGCCCCCATACTGAAAACCAAAGGGGCACATGCACGGGCAAGAATCAGCAACAATGCCTACCACAATCAGGCAGACACCATTGTCCGACATCAAACACAGCACATATGGAAGTTCCATGATCCATCAGAATCAGGAATTAAGTTAATATAATAAGTTAATATATTTACTTACTGATACATATATATATATATATATATATATATATATATACCGGTTTTTGTTTAATACAAGTTTCAGTATTATGACACTGTTGATATAATTTTATTATTGTAGTTGCTATCTTCAGATGTATCACACAGCTGACATTGAGTGCAAGCAGAATCTTATCAAGAGCAAGCAGCATAGCACAGTTGGCTAAACTAGTGGTAGCCACTGTGTGTGCGCTGAACCGTGGAGAGCCATTTCGATTCCATCTACTTCTTGTGTTTCAGCTAGTGCTCTGAAATGCAAGTATATAAAAGCGCAGTCTTTCGGATGAGATGTTTAAGTGTTGGTCCCGTGTGCAATATGGCTCATGTGAATGTCCACCAAAGAACGAAGTGCACTCTTCAGAAAAGAGTAGGGGATTGTCTTCAGGTGTACTGCCCAATTACCACCAGAAGTGCCCCACTGGAAATAATTCTGGACTTTTGTGGGTCATCGAATACTCGTATCTTCCACACAGTACCTCCATTTAAATACAGTATAACATTTATGACACTGGTTTATATACATCCTTTGCTTTCACTTGCAACATACTGTCAATTTCACCGGACTCATTTACAAAAACACCTGTAAGGCAGCCTCCATATACACATCCGGTATCCAGTCCGGTTGCGAATGTGCTCTGTTGAAGTCCTCGCACCGCATCATGTCCGAAGTAGATGTGATCTTTCCCACCCCAATACCTAATCCATGGGCTTCCACCAGCTATTTCGCTGGCATATGGTCCACCGTCAAAATAGTCCCTGTCAATAACGTTTCGCATCACTATCATGTCTGAAAGGTTTTGGTGCTCAAGTGGTTTCCCTGGCAACAAGCCTGCATGTACGATAATCACATTATGACTTGGTATTTTGATTGTGTATGGAAGATCCCGAAGATAGTCAATATTTTCCTGCGACAGGTCACAAATCCATTCATACCGTGCAGATACTTCATAGTTTGTGTCACTTTGATACGATAGACACTGGTACAGTACTGCATTATCATGATTCCCTCGCACTGAATACGCACCACTTTCCTGAACGTAATCTAGGACTTGCTTATTCTTTGGTCCTTTATTTACAAGATCTCCAACAAAAACAACAGTCATTTCTTTGGGTGTTGCATTTTTTGCCTTCTCCAGTAACTCACGCATCTCATCGTAGCATCCATGAACATCACCAACAATGAATAAAGCTCTATTTTTGATGATGCTTGGCTGAATTATTGCATGGATTGTGGATGGTAATGGCACATTACTTCTTAAATCTGGTTTAGTATTAGTTTGATGAAATACAGATGTTGAGATATATGATATTAAACCACCCATCTTTGCAGCAACAGAAGAAACTGCCTGAAAATAGATTACAAACAAAAATAGTTAAATCATGGAGGAACTAATTCCTCCCTGGTTAAATATATGTTCAATAACCAACAACACAGTAGCGTACTGTAAAAAATATCAAATTATGTATATTGGGGTGCGGGTTTTTCCAGAAATTGTTCTGGTTTTCTGCATACTCAAACAAATAACACTCACCCTCAAATTTAGAATGACGCTGTTTTTACTACGGATATTAAAAGATGTATTGTCCCATGCTAAATATTTTTAAAAAATCATATTGTTTGAAATTAACTTGCCCATCTTGAAGTAACATAAAAGTTATCAACTTGAACATAGAAATTAGTGTATTTAAAAAATGTCTACCCATCAGTTTACAGTGAAAAAATGATAGAAACACTTACAGTCAATACTAATTTGTACAGTATGCTATTGCAATATGAGCAAGTTTACTTCAAAATTATTTTATATGATTTTTTTAATTATTAACAAGGGACAATACATTATTGCCACACTAAAGTGTATCCCCCTAAACTTTATACTTCCTCGGTTCATGCTTGGCCATCACACCTGAATCTGAAGTGGCTTCTCCCATTATGAACCTGGGGAACTTCGTTTAAATTTAATGCAACAAGGTAAATGTTCTTTTTTTTACACAAAAAGAGCTGGTATTATTTTATTTTGCTATTCTGATACTAACCCTATATAAATGTTTGTGTGACCTTGACCCTCTTAAAAAAAGCATTTCCTAGGCCTGGCAACACTCGTATGGCGTTGTTCTGAGATACCACGGGTCAACTCCCTGTAACAACTCCCTGCAGCTGACAATCATCCATTCCAGGCTGCTACATTGCGTGTGGGTACTATCTATCTGTGTTATGGCCTACTGAATCTTGTGTAATCACGCCTATCAATATCACCAAAATTTCTACTTTATTCTTTAAATTACCTCACTTGCTAGTTAACACACTCATGCTTGTTTCGAGGGACTTGTACAATATTCGAAAACAATACCGTATTTAGATATAGAGGACCCCGAAAAACACCCGACCGAACTGAGAAAAAGGACAGACGCTAGTCGAGCGGCCGCACAATCAAGCGGAACGAGCGAATCCAAAGGTCGAGCGATTCCATTCACATCACACGTGTTCAATATTATATAAAAACATAGGAAATGGAGGGTAAAGAGGAATGGAAATCTCTAGCTCCACCAATAAGTGTGAAAGTGCTCAAAACACTGAAGCAGCTTGGGTTCAAGAAAATGACCCCAGTTCAGGTAATTAATTAACAATTTGATAATTAGTTATGCAGTTATGGGATGCTCTATTTGGACCCTAGCTAGGCCTAGGCCTGTGGTTTGACAGTTAGCTATATGGGCCGTAAATCGTCCTAGGCCGCGACGGTAATATACACTGTCTCTAGCCTATGCCTATGTACTCTACTACTACAGTAATTAACTGCGTCGTACTGTTAAACGTGTGTTATTTATGAATGAAAATATAACGCAACGAACAATTGCTATCAACAAAACATAACAGTTGAATAAACAATAACAGGTCAAAACGACAAAAAACCAAAACGGCAATAATATAAAGTCAAAACGGCAATGACCAAAACGGTCAAAAAAACAAAACGACAACACTTTTAGACCAGAACGGCAATGGACCAAAACGGCAATAAGTCAAAATGGCAACACTTCCAGAGTGACACAGTAATTGGCAAAATGGCTAAATAAAATACTACTAGGTCTAGGCTACTAGGTCTAGCTAGCCGAGGGCATAGACTAATTTAAGTCCTAGGTGGGGCCGCCTAAAAGGCCTCGGCTAGGCATAGCCTACCTCGGTAGGCCTAAGCCTTTGCCTAAGTAGGCTAGGCCCAAGTTACGGTATTTCTACCCTAGGCTTGGTCGTAGGCCTACCCTGGTACTGGTACTAGCCGAGGCTCTAGGCCTAGCCTCTAGCAGGCCCTTGTAGTATTAGTAGGCTCCTTCGACCTATCCTAGCCTAAATATTATAAAAATATTACAATAAAAGATGATGCAAGGATGGTCTATATGAAAGTATGATTACAGATAGGGCCTATATATCAAGCTATTTTGTCAATAAAATAAAGAGTAAAACACATTTTTCATGGTAGTTCACAGAACTGAATTGAAATAAAGTTAACAGAAAAAAGTACATTAAAGAAGGAAATCATTCATTTCATTTCTTTTTATTTCAGACAAAAAGTCCATAGTGGTAACAGGTATAATATATTAAATAAAAGTGGGTCTAAAAACAGACCTAAATTAGCTAAAATAATAGCTCACTCCATTTTCTATATAAAA